AGCTTAGAAGCAAATTCATGGTGAAAAATTTTAAAAAAAAAGTAAAATTTGTCGAGCCCATATATTAATTTTAGCTCAATTCATTTTATTTACAACCTAAGTGTAAAACTGAAATGATACACAATTAACCAAATATTTAAACCAAATTAACCAAATATTTAACAAAAAAAAATTTCTTTTGGGCTGGGTAGGGCTGGGCTATAGCCCACCCTTCCCTCCGCCCCGTCGAATCAAAATTAGTGAATCAAAAGACTTCACAGTCGAATCAAAAGCCGTCCCTTTGGATTCACTGAAAATGGTAATTTTGCTTATTTGGTTATTGATTTCTTTTTCTTTCGAGAATGAAATCGGATTGATTTGTTTATTGTTGTTGTGGATTGATTGATGAAAGGTGCGCCTGAGAAATGTAGAGGCAAAGATGTTCGAACAAGCAGCAGAGGTTTCTAAACGGATTGATAGATTATGCGTAGGCGTTGATTGCTGGGGTTGTGAATTTGAATTTGTAGAGGTTTACAAGCTTGATCGTTGATATAGTGGTGAATTGGGTTCGAGAGGTGTAGAAGGAGATGGTGTCGCCGTTAGTCCACCGGTCAACAGAGGTACAAGATGTTATAACCCCTAGGTAGAACTCACCCTCAAAAGCTAGCTATTAAGGGGAGGGTGCCCAAAAGATTATTAACCCCACATTTTCATGTGGAACTCCTGATGTGGGACAAGAGAACCATAACAAACCACTACGCTTCCGACCCCGACGCCCTCGTCGGCCCAGCAATCAGGGGGACGTGGTGCCTGCTCTGATACCAATGTTATAACCCCTGGGTAGAACTCACCCTCAAAAGCTAGCTATTAAGGGGGAGGGTGCCCAAATGATTATAAACCCCGCATTTTCATGTGGAACTCCCGATGTGGGACAAGAGAACCATGACAAACCACCACGCTTCCGACCCCGACGCCTTCGTCGACCCAGCAATCGGGGGGATGTGGTGCCTGCTCTGATACCAATGTTATAACCCCCGGGTAGAACTCCCCTCAAAGGCTAGCTATTAAGGGGAAGGTGTCCAAAGGATTATAAACCCCACATTTTCATGTGGAACTCCCGATGTGGGACAAGAGAACCATGACAAACCACCATGCTTCCGACCCCGGCGCCCTCGTCGGCCCAGTAATCAGGGGGACGTGGTGCCTGCTCTGATACCAATGTTATAACCCCTGGGACAACAGAACCATGACACAAGATGGCTGGTGATCTGGTGGTAAACCGACGGCGGGATGAAGGTTGAAGGAGATGGTGGCTGAGTTTCAAATTTTTGGTTTGGGGAGGGCCGAGGCAAAGAAGGAGATGAATAGTGTGCTTAAAACATTACGACCCATAACTGAAAAAGGCCAGAAAAAACTTGTTGAATGCTCAAAACATTTTCATTGTTGATGGCTGTGGGAGGTGTGACGGCTTGCTGGTGGCTGGTGGATTCTAATGGCTGCACAAGCTGGGTGGGGTGAAGAAGAAGAAGAAGAACAATATTATTTTCTTTTAATTATTACTTCAATTATTTTATGGGGGATAAATAGGAAAGTTATCATTTTCCCATTTTAAAATTTGGTCAATTTTTACTATTCTGGTCAACTAACTGTCAAATGGATGGATTCATTTGGACTTCCTGTGCATATTTTTGAAACGTTTGGGACTTCCTCTGGCACAAAACAGAGGTTAGGATAAAGTCTGAAAAAATTTGAAAGGTTTGGGATCACTGCTGCAATTTTCCCTTTTTTTTCGTATCTGAGCAACAATTAACTGTGTAATTCTAAAAAAAAAAATGTTAGTTTTTTTCTCCTATTATGTTTTGATTTTAAATTATATTTACTTTCCAAAAAACTAAAAAACGACGAGCTAGCTTGGAAAATTGGTGGGTGCATAGGCTAGTTCAACTCCATCAGGGCCCTCGCATTTTAGTCGTATTAATTTTTATGTATTGCTTATGTCACGCTCGAAAGTTGAAAATTTTCATGCATAATGTTCAATAGCATCGTTCCATTGTTTTGATGTTAATTTGTACCGATTCCAATCAATATCTTGTATGGTTCAGAGGCACTAGTATTTGTTACACAATACATAAAATTATAGTTCAATTCTTTATATTAGTCTAAAATTCTCTAAGAGCTTGTATGGTGTGCATGAATTCTATCTTGCAATGACTCTAGTATACATTTTACATCAGACCGACTCCATAGTCAACCTTACCAAACAAGTCATAGTCGACCTTAAAAAGAAGTGAGATTTTATTTCGGCATTCATTATCCAGACTTTCTTGTACAATCAAAAACATTTTATGAGATTCTATCAGGACATGACTTTGGGAGGGTATTTGATTGCATTTTTAACAATCTTTTTTGTAGCAGCATCACCAAGATCAATGCCACAAATATCAGCCAACCTGATGAGATAAAGAAGCACATCAGATAATTCTTCACCAAGATGCTCTTTATCTGATTCTTCCCAGTTTGGCAACCCTTTGTCCACCTCTCCCTTCCACTGAAATATCTCCGATAGCTCTCCTACTTCACCAACCTGTATTCATATATGCCAAAAGATATCATGATTAGGAAAACTCGTACCAGTGGTGGAGCAACTTAAAGAAATTTCAACTTACAAATATGTTCTTAATGCCACATGATACTTCATCATTAGACTATTTTAAATACAGTCAGCTTTTCATCCAATCACATATTGTTCACTAACATTATGTCACTTCATATGTCAGCCTGACAAAGTGGCATAACCCTACCAATTATCACAACTACGTGCATTAGGTATAACTCATCCTTAAAACTAGCTTCGTAAACCTCAAGTGGAAAGTAGTTACAAACCTACCAACCAGGCTTTTATAAACCAACGTAGGACATAATTAGAGTCGTTTGTTACACATTTAGCATAAAAAATGCACTAAGAAACGAAATAATAAAAACATTACCATAGCAAGGAGTAAATTTCTAGGGCTGTGGTACTTTTCCCAGTCTCTAGCCTTTGCAAAGTCTTCAAGTTTCTTTGACAGATCTTTCAAACTGATTTCCACTGCTTCTCCTTGCAAAATTTCTTCTTCCATGGCTTTTGATGCCACTTCTGTTCACATCCTTTACGCCGATGCAAGAGGAAATTTAAAAGGCCAAGAAAGTTGAAATTCTTGAGGAATATTGCTATTAAAATTGCAACTATCAACAAGGATCTTGAAAGTGGGCAAAATTCCTTTAGCTGTACATAATTTGAAGTGACCTACTTAATACATATAGATGCAATAAAATAGGTGTTCCACCCCACCTTTACAATATGGCCTGCTTATCTTATTAATAATATAATGAAATTATGAGAATATTCTATTTTCCCTTTCATGAGCCATCCATTAAAGCAATAGGAATTTTGACTGAACTTTTGCTTTAGTTTGACCTCTATTAAAATTAATATTTGGTATATATCATTAGGAATCTGAAAAATATTATAATAATCAATTCAATAATATGGAATTAAACTTGAAAGAACTTATAAAAGATTAATACTAGGCAGTGGGAAGGATCTGGCGGGGGCTGGACAGGGGCCATTCAATTTTTTTTAGTAGAATTTTTTTTTTTGTGTGATTTTATTTTATTTTTTACTTATTAGTCTGGTTTGTAATCCGGTCTTGAATCCATCCCTGCTAGGCACTTTGCATATTAACTCATGAAGTGTGGTGACATGTTGTGTATATTTCTAGTAAGTACATTCGCATGAATAAACTCGAAGGAATTGATAAGAACCCTTACAAAAGTTGAAGCATGTGAACGACTTAGATGCAAAGTAAAGGAGAAAAAACACGCTTAAACTTCAATTTGATGATTTTCCTTGAACTCGTGCTAAGTAGTATTTTTCAATCACCTATTACCACTGGCGGACCCACATGGGGTCATGTGGGTCAAATGACCCCACAAATTTTTTATTTTTATTTTTGAGTTTTCCTCTTTTGAGTTTTTTTTTACCCAAACATTTTTGAATTCTCATTTTTGACCCCACAAGAAAAATGATCTCGGTCCGCCCCTACCTATTACCCTGTAAGTTGTTTTTGTTAAAGGTAAAAATCGAGGATCGCTTAAGTATTAAAACATGCAATAATCAACATATAATAAGGGATTCTATTTAAGACAAAACCAAGACGACAAAGTTTAAAAAGTTCAAAGGATCATTTTAGATATCCGTCTCTAAGACAGTGTAATATAAAAGGTTATCATGTTTAGGAATATCTATCTCTAACCTGATCTGAGTTTATCATTCAGACATTCTTCAGCACTGATTTCCAAAAGATAATGTAAAAAATTGTTGACGTTTTTGTCAAATATGCCGCAGCAATAATTATTTAAACCTAAAATGCTGATATGATTAGCTAAAACAATTAAAACCCAGAATATATCATTGCTTTTGAAAAAACTTAAAACAAAAATTTCCAAATATATCATTTTTAAAATTATTTCTTATCATGCAAGAAGATTTGTTATGACTTGGAATCCATGTTCACTGCAAGAAAATTGACATTTTAAGATGACTTTCTTAAGAAGGTCGACCGCCCATTGTTATTGGTACAAATGAAATGATAAGATTACAACTCAAGCTTTATCTCTGGATTCTATTTTATCTATCGATTTTGATCACGATCCTTCAAATTTCCAGGTGGTCAAGAATCTTCATACAAGGATAATGACTTATTCTTAATAGACATGATGTTATAGGGCGACTTTTGTTGAAGTGATTTAAATACACAAAAGAATAATGCTTAAAGAACAGTTCCATCGAAATAAGGGTATTCTTATTCAAGATTAATGGCTTTGAATTCTTGCATCTATATATTCTTTGGCAAAGGAAAAAGGAGTGAGAATTAATGATTTAAGACTCGTGGACTAAAGCATCTTCACTCTCTTTATTTTCATTTTGCTTGAAGCCACTAATATTTTGCAGCAAATATTTATCGACACAAATTTATCCTTAATAGAAAAGGTTAGGACTAAGAAGTATGCTTTTAGCTAAATAATAAATTAATCAATATTAATATTCTTAACAAAAATGTTAACGGTTTCTATTCCAAACTTTCAAGGTGAAATGAGATATCTCATAGCCATCTTCTGGCATGTCTGAATATAACATTATAGCATGTGAATCCTATAATATTTTTGACAAAACAATAAATACACAAGTGTGAGAATATTTTTTCCTCGTTTCAAAGCACACAAACGGAATAATTTGACAAAAATCAATATCAAGGAGGAAATGAACTAATTAATGGAGCGTTGAAAATAAAAGTTCGACGGGCAAAAAATTTAAGGAGTGGTGCTATGTGTACACACAATTTTTTACACAACCTTTTACACTCCCCTCACATGGAGGGGGGCCCACGATTATTTTATTATGTATGGGCCCCCCTCCATGTGAGGAGGGTGTAAAATATTGTGTAAAAAATTGTGTACACATAGCTTTATTCAAATTTAAGAGCATATATTTTAAAATGAACAAAGATTAAGAACTTAATTACAATTAAATATGGTGAAGCAAATAAAAAATTGATTACACCTCCTCCAAAACAATACCCTCCCATTAACTTACCTGTCCACATTTACATTCCATTTCACAATTTCATTAAGCCCCTTTGGTGTAAATTTTAATCATATTAAAATCTCCCATCAAAATCAACAATTAAATTTAATCACACATTTCAAGACTCCCAACAATTTTTCAACCATACATTTCATCAACTTTTATCAAAATCTGATTTTAATGCAAAATTTTTCAACTGCAAATAACCAGTACACATCTTCCCTGTAAAAGGTCTCTATGTTTTGCACATTAATAAGCAGAAAAAAGGAACATATTGAACATAATTATATTTCACAGACATGACCGTATGTTCCCAAATTAATATCCTTGATACAACAAGAATTGACGAGAAAGAAAAAAAAATCTAAGAAATTGGAAGTGAGTAACTTAAAACTTGAAATTTTGGCATTACATCACTTCCTTTTTCCTGCGCCAATTGTTAGCAACTCGAAGCTTCGGAGAGTATCATCACGGGCACTTCTTGAAGCTGAAGCGCGAGTAAAAGAAGATGTTTTGGACTCAATTCCAGGTTGTAACCTTTGGGTGGTGGATAGACGACCACTGCCGGAGCCCAGTCGCCTATGACGATTTTCACTGGGTTCTGCAGAGGAGCTAGGCCTGCTGCTAGACAATACTGGCCTCCTTGAACTACTACCAGGTCGAGACACTCGTCCTCGTTCAGACACAAAGAGCTAGAAGATCAATAATCAATTGTGAAATTAAGATTCAAGGACAAACAAGTAACAATTTAAGTGCACTAATGGTCACTAAACATTGATCGAGATTTCAAGTTTAGTTTCAAATTGATCGCGGAACTTCAAATTTGTGACACTTTGGTCATTTCTTCCATTTCTATTAGTTTGACAGAAAAAAGGTGACACGGCAGTCTACTAGACTATCACATAAGCATTTTAATGCATTGGACAATGAATCAAGGGTCGTGGCCACTGGACGGATGATGATCACAACCAATATTCATTATTTTGGACGAAATGACCAAGTTTTAACAAATTTTAAGTTCCGTGACCACTAGTGCTTTTAACCCCAGTAGCAGCAGAAGTAGATTATAAACAAATGCAAACTTTAAAGGTTAGTACCGACCACATCTTTTGATGATGGAGCATCCTCGGTAGATCTGTGCCTCGAGTGATCCCCGTGCATGCCTGTACTAGAACCATTCCTTCTAGCAAATGCCTGCACGGCACCTGAGAATCTGTCTCGAACTTCATGCTTCACTAGATGTCAAAATATGCAACCATTTAATGGCTTGTCAACTATACTGCATTATGTCACAACTATAAAGCAGAAAATTTGTGGTGCATGCCATGGGCTACCTCACACCATGCTTGCTAATAACGATATAGATGCACTGATTCTTGAAATATTGACAAATATGTTATAATAACAAAAGGGAAGGTGAAGAGGAGGCGGGAGGGAGGGATGACTTTTAAAAGAAAAAAAACATAACACATCACTAAAAGGTGTTCGTAATCACTTTCTCTACTTCCATCTAATCACAACTCTATAAATCCTCTTGCAACAATAAACTAATAGCAACAAAATAATGTATGGGAAATTTTATTTACAAATAATTCTTCCGCGGGGATACATAGATTCAGGGAAAATTGCTCCTGTAGTCTCACACCCCACCAGATGTGAAAGTGTGCTCGTAAACCCCGTAGCGATCCATAACTGGCTGAAAAATTAACCAAATCTACTGGAAGCTTCTCCATTCACAATTTATGAAGCTTACGTCACCAGCAAATTCATCTTCCTAATTTTCAAATTTCTCTTTCCCATTTAAATCTATGCTCTGATTGAAATGAAACATCTCTTTCTTTGTCCATATATATATTTCCTAATGGTGTTTTGTGTTTCCTACAAATCTGGGGGTGAGGAAGATATTGCTGAAGGAATGAATAAAGTAATTTCATTGTTTTCTCAATCTACCAAATGCCACCCAATATAATGATCTTCAGTGTCGTGGGTCCTGGATTTGCTTTGGGTGGGTTTTCTTGTGGTGCTGAATTTGATGGTGGAATATTTCTTTTCGATTGTGGTGAAACCAGTGCAGTCGTATGGCTGGTGTGTGGTGGTTTCAACATCGGTTGCGGTTGTTTTGGCATTGGTGGTGTATGCGTATTACAGAGGGAGACGCACAGAGAATGTTGAAGACTGCAGCGCAGGCAGTGGTTGCCACTGCCTCTGTTTGATTTAGCTGGTGGTTATCAAATTGGTGTGGGGTGGGGTGTGGTTGTGGGGAAGTTTTTTTTCCATTTTTTATCTTTTCATTTCTTTTTATTTCATTCTTTATTTATTTTTTGTTAAAATTATTTATGTTCTGTCCACTAAGCTCTTAAAATAATGACACAAGTCGCTTTCACATGTCAACTTAACAGAATTACAGACTTTTTTCGTCTGTCAGGATTACAATAGCACCTATTTTGCTACGATTCTTAGCGCGAGGACGATTCTGCACCAACTGCAAAAGGT